TGTGGGTTTAACACAGCATAATAGTCCCATGTCGTCTTCGTCAGGTACTGCCATTTCTGGGCTTAGACTAAGGTCATCTTTAGGAGATAAAGATGTTTCCAGAAATTTTCAAGTATATCAGAGTTTAACTTCTGGAAAAGTCAGTAGTGTTATAAACACTAGTACTCCAACGCCAACTGCTCGTTTATCAACGTTCCCTGTACGTGTTCAAGGTTCAGAAACTCATACCCCGATACAAAATCTTCCACTGTCTCAGTCTTTGAGATCTCAAAGCTTAGCGTCATCTGGTGGTACAACAAACCCGCAGGCAAATCATGTGTCCCACTCAAGTCTCCGGAACGGCCAGATAGACAGCCGCATAGCTGCACTGGCCAACAGCATCAGATCGCATCTTCAGCATGGGATGGCCCAACAGGCAAACATCCATCACCAAATGCCTCCAGTCGTCAGACACGTTCAGCCGATATCGCCTACAGCTCTTAACCAAGATAGTAACTTGCATTCACAACGACAACGACACAATTCCCTACAGCAACAGGCCCCACACTTGCACAGGCCGCCAACGTCTCAACAGCTGCGAGCGATATTTGAGAGACTAGCTGCGACCAATCGTGCCAACTCGAGATTGAGAATGCTTTCATCCGGGGCAGCTGCCATTCCGCGGTTAAAAACACAGCAAATGAACTCAGCCAGCGGTACCTCTATCATAAACTCACCTCCTTCTTCTGAACATCAAGCACCTGTGTCCAAGGACAACCAGCTCAGGAGAGACCCTAATCTGCAGCCTCGTACTTCATCCACATCCATGCAGTCAACATTGATAAGCCCTAACACAAACACGGATTACAATGGCGCTATTATCTCCTCGCATTCTTCACCTCAGACACACTGGCAACAACTTTACCAGCAGCAAGCAAATACTCACCAGAATGGATACCGCCAGGGTATCCCCCAACAGTTAAACAGGCAACAGCAGCTATACCCCCAACAGAGCCCCTTCCAGCAACAAGGGAGACCACCACGTCAGTACTTCCTACCTTCCATCTACTCCCCTGCGTCAGGCGTAGACAACACGAATTTATACTATGCAGCAGATCCCGGTATATCAGGTCCTGGATCGAGCATCATGTCGGTACCTCAAGTTTTCCCCGTGAACAATGCCCAGCAAGGCAACGCAAACAGCCAGCTGCAGTCTGTGGGACTTGTGCGTCCTGGCTACGAGCAAGGAAACAACTGGCAGTCACTCAGCTTTCAGAACCAACAGTACCCGTTCCTCGTCTACTGATGGCCACACAGGTGTCTGGTCTTCATCACTGATCTGTCTTATCACTGATATGTTTCATCGCTGATCTGTCTTATCACTGATCTGTCTTATCACTGATCTGTCTTATCACTCATCTGTCTCATCGCTGATATGTTTCATCTCTGATATGTCTCATCACTGATATGTTTTACTGCTGATCTGTCTTATCATCGATCTGTCATCACTCAAATTTTTACCACAGGTCTGTCTTATCTCATATATTCATAAATAGGCAGTTTAATCATTCAGCTGTGCCATCGTTCATCGGTCTAATCTTAATCTCTAATTTCTCTTATCGTATTAATGATTTGTCATATCACAGATCTAACTTATCACTGACCACTTGTGTCACTAATCTGTCATTTCAATAATCTGTCTGATCACTGATCAGTCTATCACTGTTATGTCTTATCATTGACGTGTCGTTTCATAGACCTGTATTTTCACTGATCTGTCTCATCATTGACTTGTCTTATCACTGATCTCTTTTATCACCAAGATAAGTTTTGTCAATGTATCTTTGCTGCTAGTCATCTCGTGTGTCTTATTCATCCAGAGTTCAGATGGAACTAAGACCGCATAGTCTCGTGTATATATCGCCAATGGTTTTGGTCTTCTGTCGCTATTCGCCGGACTCCTTTGCAAGCTAGCACTGCGACTAGAGCAGACAGTACTTTATGGAGATGTTATCTCGGTGGTTGTACTACAGTGGGCACTGCGACTAGAGCAGATAGTACTTTATGGAGATGTTATCTCGGTGGTTGTACTACAGTGGGCACTGCGACTAGAGCAGATAGTACTTTATGGAGATGTTATCTCGGTGGTTGTACTACAGTGGGCACTGCGACTAGAGCAGACAGTACTTTATGGAGATGTTATCTCGGTGGTTGTCACAGTGGGCACTGCGACTAGAGCAGATAGTACTTTGGAGTATTTATCTCCAATGCTACAGTGGGCACTGCGACTAGAGCAGATAGTACTTTATGGAATGTTATCTCGGTGTTGTCCTACAGTGGGCACTGCGACTAGAGCAGGTAGCACTTTATGGAGATGTAATCTCGGTGGTTGTCCTACAGTGGGCACTGCGACTAGAGCAGGTAGCACTTTATGGAGATGTTATCTCTGGGGTTGTCCTACAGTGGGCACTGCGACTAGAGCAGATAGTACTTTATGGAGATGTTATCTCTGGGGTTGTCCTACAGTGGGCACTGCGACTAGAGCAGATAGTACTTTATGGAGATGTTATCTCTGGGGTTGTCCTACAGTGGGCACTGCGACTAGAGCAGACAGTACTTTATGGAGATGTTATCTCGGTGGTTGTCCTACAGTGGGCACATCTTCAGAACAAGATGACAAAGGATCATCAAACAGGCAAAATGAGAAACAGATAGGTTGAGGAAATGGGTACGTCGAACACAAACTGTGAACCAGATTTACGGTATCTGTCATGGAATCAAGGCCGAAGTTGTGCGATGTCTATAAGTACTGAGCCGAAGGGTTGCGATATCCATAGTACCGAGCAGAAAGGTTGTAATATCCATAGTACGGAGCCAAAGAGTTGCGATATTCATAGTACCGAGCCAAAGGGTTACGATATCCATAGTACCGAGCCGAAGGGTTGCAATATCCATAGTGCCGAGCCGAATGGTTGCGACATCCACAGTACCGGGCCGAAGGGTTGCGATATCCATAGTACCAAGCCGAATGGTTGCGACATCCACAGTACCGGGCCGAAGGGTTGCGATATCCATAGTACGGAGCCGAAAGGTTGCGATATTCACAGTACCGAGCCAGAGGGTTTACAACTTATGGTTTCTATAAATTTTTTTTTTTTTAAACACGAACATTTCTGAGAGAGGTCAAGGGTGCTGGTCTGGATTCAATCCATGAGATCGAAGCGGTAGCACGGGATATAACTAGACTGAAGACCAGACTGCAAGCCCTTTGTGACCTATAACTTTAAAACATGATGATAATGGTTGTGATAAGGATGGTGATGATGGTTGTGATAGCAAGGGTTGTGATAGTGATGGTGATGATAAATACAACGATGATCATGATGTTTGGGATCTGATAAATCTGAGTTGGCTGGATAGGCCCCGTATGGAGTTGTACTGCAACTGCATAAGGCAGAGGTGATATCTCGCCTGTATGGTAAGGTAAACCAGTTAATCCAGAAGACGCGTACCTGGAGAGAATGATGCAGCGGGGAGAGTGTTTGCGGGCTCTGGGAGCCACTGACGACTCAAGTAAAGACAAGACAAGTAGTTAACCAGATGACAACAGGTAACATCAGTGTGAAGACTCTTTGCTGTCTACTGAGGAGAGAGACGGAGCTCATATGGGCTTGTCCTGAGGGCTGTGATGTCCAGTTTTTGCCCAGATGAACCCAGATCAGAGAAATTAGACTGACAGTCACAGCTTTCTGGATTGTTATATGACAAGAAATTAACTAAGAAACTGGGTGACAGCTGACATTTTTTAAGGGAAAGAAAAGCAAGAGCAACAGATGTAGATAGCATAGTGACATGATCACATAGGTAGGACAAGACAAGAACATTGACCTCGTCTGTGATTCTAGTGATCGTATGAGATGGCGAACCACAAACCGAACGTCTACGCGTGCCAGCATTGCAATTTGTGATACATTTATAGAAGATATCTTGTTCTAGTCATTCCGCCAACCCCGTGGGCTGTAAATCCCATAACTCTCTTCGACGCAATATAGATAAAACTTTGTTTTTGAAAGACGAAACAGTCCCAACAATAGAATGTTTAGCACGTCCCTCCACAAACTGGCTGGTTCTGCACAACCTGGCGGAAAACTGATGCATGATAAGGGGGACGTGGCTAGGGCCTTGTGAGAGCACCTGTACAATTCTGAGGAGCAAATGGATCACCACGGCCTGGTGAGATTGATGCCGCGAGGAGTGACTAGAAGGATCTGGCCGACACTCGACGCTCAGAGGGAAGGCAAGACAGACGTATAATCAGAATGCCGCTGGCCCCATTGTTCATGGAATTCTGCGCTTGCTGCCGAAGAATGACCCTAGTGTTGTCGGTTCTTGGATCACCTCATCTCAGTAATTGCGCACCGTATCATGAGAAATTTGTAGCTAACTTTTTTAGCCTGTTAAATATTCAATGGTGAGGAACGGCTGGCCGAATGGTTAGAACGCTGGACTCTGAAGAGGGAGACCCAGGTTCCAATCCTCGATAAGGCTAGGGATTTTTTTACTGTAGCGACAGCACTAACCATGCGGCCGTAAATCCGCAGTCTAAAAGACGCCCCTGCCTAAACCACAAAAGTGGTAAAATTAAGGCAGTATTTGGCAGTTTCAATTGGCAGTAAAATTCAATGTGGAGGAATATATGGAGCAGCCAGTAGCGAATACCTGCCACATGTTACGTGACCTGACTTACTTGAAGAGGAGACAGGGATCTGGCAATACAGTCACTGTGGAGATGGCAATTTTACTGGGTCTGGAGGTTTTATCATAAACTAATTGCATGCAGGTTGATGTAAGTTTTCTTTCCGTTCTGAGATAACATGAACATCAGTAAACTCAGATGAAATGTTCAAACTTAGTTCTCCAAAGGATTAACCGACAAACAAATCTAATTCATGACCAAAGTTTTTTTTTTTTTTAAGAGATTGTTTAAATGGTTCCCTCCAGCACTGAGTATTATCGAGAATATTCAACAGAAGAATACCCCTAGAAACACCGTTTCATCCAATAACTCAGCTTGTTTGTAGTTGTGAGGGTGGGAGGAGTTTTCAAGACAAATCAATTCCAGCTTTCAACTACTTTCAAACTAGCAATGAAGTAGGAACACCGCCACAACCATTATCATCGTAGCTTTAAAAAGAAAACGATCTTACGTGACAGCAACAAGGATCCAAGGAGATGATGGATTGAAAACATTAAAGGCGTAATAGATTGACGCAGAAAGACAATGGTCAGTGCCGCGTATCCAGCTATGTACAGCAAAATGTTGCTCCCCACGGCGCAAAAATAGAAACTGACGAAGATAAGAATCAATAAAGTACTAACCTCACTTGGGTTACAAGTTACGAAACGCGCAGTCAAGGAGAAATAATAGAAACTTTGGTTTTCCGCGTTTTCGTGGTCACAAAACAATCAATTGTCTGTGGTAGTTAGTAGTTATACTAAGGATTGATTTGTTTTGTTGTCTTTAGGAATAGTACACGCTGAGTTCCCATCTTATCAACTCATACTGCAGGCAGCCGCCGTGGTTTAGCGGCTAAACGCTCGCCTACTGATCCGAAAGTCGTGGGTTCATCTCCCCATGGAGCCGGACTTTTGTCAAAAACGACCTTGGCTGCCATGTCGACCCAGTCTTAAATGCGTGCCAGGTAAAGTCCCGAGAAGTAAAAGCGGCTGGTGTCATGTTGAACACATCTCACACGTAGTGCTGATTAATCTATAAAATATAGGTCTAGCCCTATGTACCCAGTATACATAAATGCGTGGAGAACGGTCCTTCACTACACATTTAACAATCAAACAACGCATCAGAAAGGTCCTCGCATGCCCCCTTAGAACAGCCAAGGGGTAACTGGAGCAACGACTGAATTCACGAACTTTATTTTCAAAGGGTCACGAATTGGCCACACAGGCCTGTCTTAGAGAAAGAGGAGAGGAGAAGCCTACAGTGGAATCCTGGTACCTATTTCGAATGAACATTAGAACGATCTTGTTTTTGTCTAAACCGACATCCGGTGAAATTGAACCCTCGTATTTTGGGGATTTGTAAACGCAGTCACTAACCATTAATCGTCACCTTGTGCGCTTTAGTTTGTTAGTTAGACAGCTAGCTAACTAGTTAGATAGTTTGCTAGTTTGTTAGTTAGGCAGCTAGCTAACTAGTTAGTTAGTTAGTTGGTTAGTCAGTCAACCTTTGCTCCTGATCCTAGGGCGACGCATAAGGCACAGGCCATAGCTCTCCATGTCAGGCGG